GGTGGAAAGGGCTGCGCCCCAGCGCGGGCTCGGGACTGGACCCAGGGGCCGGGATGGAGTGGGACCCGCTGAGAGCGCTGGGCGCCGTCACCGCCGCGAGCCTGCTGCTGTGGGCGGCCTGGGCGGTGGGCTGCACGGTCTACGTGTACCTGCTGCCCCAGGTGCGCCGCGGTGCCCCTTGGCTCAGGGCGCACGGAGCCTGGGCAGGTAAGAGGCAAGGGCTCTGTGCCAAGCGGGTAGCGATGGGCATCGCAGGCACGAGGACAGACGACAGGCGAGGGCCCCCAATCACGGCAGAAAGCCCCCAATCAAGGGAGTTCTGGAAGCAAGAGAAGTGAAGGCTGGGTCAACCAGGACAAGGGAGGCGCCGAGTCCCCGCAGCTGCCCAGGTGAGGGGAGCAGGTGTCAGACCCCGCAGGTGAGGCATGAGGGGCCCGTGCTGTGTGCGCGTGGGTCTCAGCGGCAGGGGCTGAGGGGGGGCTGCGGCAGAGTGTCAGGCCACCCCTCCTGCTTGTCCTTCTTCTCTCCTCTCCAGTGGTGACAGGAGCCACCAGTGGCATCGGCAGGGCCTATGCACATGAGGTGAGCCGGGGCCTGGAGCCCGTGGGTGGCGGGGGCTTCCCCGGTCTGTTTGCCTGTTGTCAGCTGCGCCTACTAGACGGGGAATCGCATAGCTCGTCTGGTTCCCTCAGACACCCTCTCCCTCAGGAAGCCTTCCCTCTGCTCCCCAGCCTGGGTTCACGCCTTTACACTGGGCTTCTACAGGCTCTTGACATTCCCCCATCGCCGCCCTGCTTCATTCATCCAAAGCATATTTATCGACCACCTCTATTGCCAGACGTCTTCCAGGTGCTGGGGGAAAGCAGTGAACAAAACAGATTTTCAAACTTGCCCTCGTGGAGCTTACGTTCACTAGAGTGAGGGGAGACAGGTGTAAAAAAAAGGTAAATAAATAAAAGGTAGTGGGTCAACTGGCTGTAAGGGTTAAAGAGAAAATTAAATCACAAAAAGAAGAACAAGGAGCCCTGAGGATGTGCAGGGCTCCAATTTTTATGTAGGGTGATCGAGAGGTGTCACTGAGAAGGCAACGTTGAGAAAAGACCTGATGGAGGTGAGGGTCACATGGATAATTGAGACATGACTTCCAGGGAGAAGAAATAGCTCATGCAAAGGTTCTGGAGTAAAGGAGCATTGTTACTGAACCAAAGAGGACCCACCCACTTGACTAAACATTAAACACCAAATTGTGTGGTGGAAAAATTAAATCAGTTTATTAGCAGGGCACCAAGCCAGGAGAATGGTGAGCTATCACTCAATATCCAAACTCCCTGATGGTTTTTCATCAGGGTTTTTAAAAGCAAAGATTGAGGGGTAGGGGTAGGGCTTAGGAGTCAGGGGCAAAGCCGATTGGTTAGTTTTTGTGCAAGCTTCAGCGGTTTTCCTTTGTCTCATTAATTCAGTTCCTGAGGGCCTTTTGTCTGGTGCTTTCATCACTGTGGTTGATAGACCTAACTGGGTTGAAGAACCAAGATTCTGCAAGATATCTCAGAATTGTGTGTCAGCGTGGTTACCATTAAAGCAAAAGGCAGAAACTAACTCCCATCTTGTGACCATTGTTATGGTTTAAGCTATCATTGTTTTGGGCTTAACTAGCTGTATTATCTGTTATCTCACGCAAAGTGTACTTCTAAGCATTTTTCCTGGAAGTTGATTTACAGGCAGGCCCCTGGGACATGACTAACATAACCTTATTAATCTTTGACTGGAAGCTACATGACAACCAAAGCACTTGAATCATTTAGTTAAAGCCTATGCCAGTATCTCTAAACTCTGTGATCCACATACCTAAATGTGTTTACTGTGGACTGTTGTTTTCAGCATTGCTTGTTGGAGGAGCAGGAAGGCGGCCACTGTGATTGTATCAGAGGGAGAGGGAGAGGGGAGCAGATGAGGAGAGATGCAATTTCAGGGCAGATCATGGAGAATCTCGTGGGTTATTCTGAGGATTTTAATACTTACTGAGATGAGATCCTGGGAGGGTTCTGAGCAGAACAGGAATATGATACTGCAGGAAGTGAGGGTGGAAGCAGGGACATCCACTGAGAGGCTGTTGCGAAAACCAAGCAAGAGATGCTGGCAACTTAGACCAGGGTGATAACACTGGAGGTGAGAAGTACTAGGATTCGGAATTGATTTTGCTGGTAGAGCAGATAACGCTAAGGAAGGTTCCTCTATACCTCGGTTGCTGAGAGGTTTTTGTTGTTGTGTTATTGTTGTGTGGGTTTTTTTAATCATGAATGGAGGTTGAGTTTTGTCAAATGATTTTTCTGGTCTTATTGAGACGATCCTGTGGTTTTTCTTCTTTAGTCTGTTTATATGGTAAATTACATTGATTGATTTTTCAAAGGTTGAACCAACCCTGAATTCGTGATACAAACCCCACTTGGTCATTATATA